ACACAATCAGTCTTCTCTCTTCTCTAAAATTATCTAAACACGAGTTCTTTCTGTTATGTTTTCTGGGCAAGTATTCTGAGTTCTAGTCGGGTTTGTGAATGCACATAAACTCCGGCGCCGTGCTTATCCTGGAGGGCGACCGCTTCTAGTCTACTGCACCGAGAGGTAGCGCGAAATCGTCTTTTAGGTCAATGGTTCTCCACGACGCGGCTATTGTCACTTTGGTTCACGCATCAAGAGATAAGTAATTTCTTTTTTATTGCTTAGTAGTATAACAAGATCCTCTTGTTACGTGTCGTCCAAAGAGCCCAAAGTGTCGCAAAAAAACACTGGGCCGACTTCCACGCATTCCATCCCGGCTATAAAACAACAGGATATGTGTTTGAATCCATTCCTAAAAGGAAGTAGATCCAGTGGGTTTTTTACAGTTGGATAAACTGCAGTTTTCCCAGGCATGCCAAGCAATAAAAGAGTCTAGAAACAGGTGACGAGTTTAATTGTGCTATAATGTGTATATTCTAATTTATACATTATATAAACGCTAATATGATTACTCTAATACATTATAACTTTATAAGTGTTTTTTATGTGTAAAGTTTATGTTAGGAAAATAGTAATCTTTGTTGGGATAGTTTTGCAATGGCTACAATAATTATAAAAACAAAATCTAAACCGTTGATTAATATTATGTAAAGAAGTGTCATTAATTTAAGTTGACCAAGAAAAATACCCAATTTTTTTTCTTTTTTTTCCTTATTCCTCTAAACGGTAGCTTCTAATCTTCCATTAATGATAATCTCCAAAGTATGAATAGCTTTCCTATGAAATATTAAATTTGATCCTATCCATTATCCATGAATCAACCAAAAGGAAGATATTGCAATTAAATACCTTTCCTATGCTAAAGATTTCGACGATTTTGCATTTATGGTGGAAACTAGCTGCCTAATTCATGACTCAATAAAAAAGATACCTAATTTATGAGATTTATGGGGAGAATTTGATAGAAGAGCAGGGTGTTGAGAGGAGAGAGAATCACTTAAAAAGAAATCCATCAATTAATGCAAGAGTAAATTGATCCTATCCAATTATATATCCATGAACTTCGTATTAAACTATCCACTGAATAAAATTATATTCCTTTTTTAAAAATTTGTTGGCAGTTTTCCATTGATTGTTTGTTATACTTTAGGCAAATTTGTTAAAAAAAAACCTTTTAAATGCATCATTTTACAAAAAAAAAACCTTTTAAAAAGTTTATTGTAAAAGAAAACCCGACGTTAATTTTTTTTTTCTAAAAAAAAAACCCAATCCCACTTATTCACATAATTAACAACTAATTCATCTAAATGACTATAACCTTTACTTAACTATATACTATAATTAAAATAATTAATAATTTTTTTTAAAAAAAAAAAACCACCGGTCCATTCACCCCTCTCCTTTCCCCCTTCCCCTGGCAGCAGCCCCTCCCCCATCTGAGCCACCAACATGAACCACTTACTGTCGGCGACCCATCTCCACCGCCAGCCACTCCCTCACTTTCCCTTACTCCATCGCCAAATCAGAGGCACTAGCATCGATCATCTGCTTTATAAGAACATCACAAGGCTCGAATGTATCATCAACATCAATATTGTTCCCCATTTTCAACATCTTTTCCTCATTTTCCCTCAACCACCCTTCCAATTGCAATTGCATTTCTCAACACCAATTGCAATTACTGTTCTAGCCCTTCCGTCTCTTCCAACATCTCTTTCAACCCCTTATTAATCTGCTCCCCCCGCTGTCTCAAATTCACTTGGGCACTAAATAAACCTTCCATTTACGGCGATGGCGAGAATACCCTCGGACCCGCCATCGAAGGATGCCCAACAGACCCAGAACCCATCAAACCCGAATACCCAGAATTCGGCAAAACCCCAGAATCCCCATGACTATGCCTATGATTCTGATTTCTAATTAGCACTTGATAAAGGGAGGAGGTCGGACGGAAGTGGAGGTGGGTCGCCGACGGTGGGGGGTTTAAGGCGGTGACTCAGTTTAGGGAAAGGGTTGCTGCCAAAGAAGGGGGAAAGGGAGAGGGGGTGGCTAGCTGGTGGTGAGGGTGGTGGTTTGTTTTTTCAAAAAAAAATTTATTAGTTAATTTAATTATCAAATAGTTAAATGAGATTTATAGAGTAATTAGTAGAAACTAGTAGTTAATTAAGTGAATTAGTGAGACTAGGTTGTTTTAAACAAAAAAAATTTTTACTTCGGGTTTTCTTTTACGATAAAGCTTTTAAAAGATTTTTTTTCCACAAAATGATGTATTTAAAAGGTTTTTTTTTAACAAATTTGCCTATACTTTGATCCAATCCATGTTAATTGCTCCTCATATTGTTATTCTATGGAGATTAAGATGGTGGTTGAATACTTAGAAGTTCATCAATGGTAGAAACATGTAGTTTTTTTTTTTTCAAGATAAAGTAGTTTTTATAATATTTATAACTAGATGTAAGCCAGTGCGATGCACGATTCTAGTAATCATTTTATTTAATTTAAAATTGTTTATATTTATGAAGATCATTAAATAAATATATGGATAAAATTCCTAATATCATAAAATAATTTTTTTAATTTTAACACTAAAGTTATATTTTGTTGTTTTATTAATTTTATGTGACGATTGAATTTGAAATCCCAAACCTTATTCACCAGTTGTGCTTATGTGACAATTTAAATTTTTAATTCAAAAAAGAAATGACAAATCTCGTTTTTTTATTGATCAAAATAGCTCTTTTGCTTATGCGTTTATTTAATATACTCACTCTATTTAAAATGTTAGTCTCATTTATAATCGTTTAACTATAATATATTGTAGGAAATTAGTCATATGAGATTTAGTTTTATTCGTCTCGATGAGTACACTATTAAAAACAAACTTTTACAATATTTTCTAGGGAGAGATTAAAGATATTTGCGATTAAAAATTTGCATCCATATATAAAAAAAAGATAATTATTACTTAGTTTTTTTTTATTTTTATTTTTAGAGAAGATAATTATTGGTTTTTAAAAGTAATTTAAATTTTAATTATTCTTTATTCGTTGTCTTTACATATGTGTCAAAATTCTTAATCCTTATTTGTCACTTTTGCTTAGGCGGCGAATAAATTTTTTTAATTCTAAAATAAATTATTAATTTAATTTTTCATTGGACAATATATATATATATATATATATATATATATATATATATATATATATATATATAATGAGAACCAAGGCTAAAATAAGAACTAGAGATTAATCTAGGCCCTTTGATCATGTTAATCCGACGGCTCACATGCTTCCTGGGTCATTAATGGCATTTTCGTAATATTTGAATGGTACAAACAGTGGCGGAGCCACTATAGGTCCTGGTAAGGCACGTGCCCTACCAGTTTTTTTTTTCTCAAAAAAAGAAGTTACTAAAAATGTATTTAAAAAAATCACAAAGTGCAATATGTTACCTAAACTTCCAGTAGCCTTGTGATTGGAAACTTGCAACATAGAGCATTACTTTGCTTACCCAAGGTCACGGGTTCTAAACCCTTACCCAACATTTATTTTTTTCCTTTTTTTATATTTTTTATTTTCTTAGTGTCCTTATTTTTTTATCCTCTCCTTATTCATTCTGACATTTATTTTTTTCCCTTTTTTTTTAATTTTTTATTTTCTTATTGTCCTTTTTTATTTATCCTCTCCTTATTCATTCTATGCTTAATGTCCTTTTTTTTTTTGGCTACTGTCCTATTGCGGTACATAGATGTGTCTTGAATTTTTTTTTTGTGGTACGTAGATGTGTCTATTTTTTTATCTGGCTTATTGTCCTATTGTAGTACGTAGATGTAGGGGTGAGCAAACAGGGTACTCAGTCAAAATTTTAGGACCCAGACTTAGAATTGGTTGGAACCAGGTCCTAAATTTCGGATTCGGAATTAGAATTGGTTCAACCGGGTCCTAAAATTTAGGAATTGGTATTGGAACCACCGGGTACCCACTTATGTATGTAATTGCTTAAATATAATACAAATTATAATTCTTATTTTCGTTAGGTTCATTTTTAGCGTTTAATACTTATATTTATATCTGCATTAAGCTATTTGTATTTATGTTAGGTATTAATGATACATTTTTAATTTACAAATTAAATACATTCAACATATTTTTAATATTTAAAATTTATTTATTTTAGCATATATTAGGTAACCGCGTACCCAACCGGTTCCGGTTCCAAAAAGTTGAGAATTGAAATTGGAATTGGTTATAGCCAGGTCCTTAATTTATTACCGGAATTGGAACCACCGGGTTCAATTCCAGTTCCAGACCCGTCGGTTCCTAACTGGTTTTGGATCCAATTCCGGGTACCCGGAATTTTTGCTCACCCCTACGTAGATGTGTCTTGAATTATTTTTTTTTAAATTTAAGAGCATGATAAAAGTGTTATATTAGGAGGTGCCCTACCATTGTTAAAATCCTGGCTCCGCCACTGGTTACAAATTTATTCCCAGTTTTATTTCTAAAAAGTAAATGAAAAGTTAGTAAAAGTAAATGAAATCAGTCATAAAGTAAATGAAATTGTCTCTAAAGTTAAAAAAACTGTAAAAAAGTTTGAAATTCCTCGAAATAACGAAAATGCCATTAATGAAAGCGGATGAGATGTGAGCCGTCAGATGGAGCACGATTGAAGGCTGAGATTGGTTCCTAGTTCCTATTATTCACCTTGGTTCTCACATGATCTCAATTATTAATATTAAACATTTAAGATTAAAATTGGTTACAACGGCTACATTTTTTATGTAGCCATTGAATAGTCTTCCATCTTTATTGAATATATAGGTAACTTGTAGGATAACTTTAACCCGTTTTATAGTAATTTAATGAAAGTCCGACCTAAATAAATTAGAATTTGTGGTCGGAAATATAAGGTGTTCCTCCCTTACGAATCTCCTAATTTTCCATTCTCTTAATCTTTCAAAAAAAAAAAAAAAAAAATTGCTTGTACAAAGTCTACAAACTTGTGTTGTTTTCTGCCTCAAAAAAAAAAAACTTGTGTTGTTTTCCACTACCAAACTTTTTATAATTCCCCCAACTTTTGGTAAAGGTGTTGCATTACTTGCATAGTTGCATATAGATAAGATACTTTGTCGATTCAAAATTGCATACTCATGAAAATTCAAACTTATCAACTTACAAAATTGCACAGTAGTAAAAATTAAAGATTGAACATGGACAATTGGACACATGGTCGCCAATTAATTCTTGTAATCGTTACATAATTTTGCTGTGCAATCTTTATTTATAAATTATGTCTAGAATCCTTGTACATCTGAAATTCTGAATGGGAGTCTTGATCCTGAACTCCTATCTTGCAAAAGTCACTGATTATACTTCAAGCGACTTATAGATTGGAAGAGATTCTTGGAGTTTCGGTGTCCATCATGACATGATTACGAGTAATTTCCTCAACTGTTCGACAACCACTTAACGCCATGGTGAGCTCAAACTCATCACGAAGCATTTGGAGCACTTTTCGCACACCAGCTTCTCCATTAACTGCTAATGAAAAAACTACTGGCCTTCCAATCTGGAAACAAATTAAAGAGAGTTTATGAACTTCTGAATTTGGATGATAACTACTAGTAGGTGTTCTGAGATATAATACTCAAAGTGCAGGTACTAGTTTCACAAGCCTATTTCATTGACAGCCATTTCAATGAACTGATATATTTGAAAATCAATAATGTCTGCAACACATTTTACTATCGATCGAAGTTACTGGAAACTTGAATACTAAGATAATAAAAAAGTCACTTACAAATACTCCAGAAGCTCCAAGTGCTAATGCTTTGAAAACATCTGTGCCACGACGAACACCACCATCCAAGAAAACAGGAATTTGACGCTCCACAGCTTTCACAATCTGACATGCAACAATGAGGAACGTATGTAGGTATGCCACAACGTACCACAATATCAAGTACTCTTATATTTATAATACAAATATGATTCTTTCCTTATTCAGAGCTTCAATGATTTTATGCTATATTGATAGACATGATGGTCAAACTGTACTAATGGCCTTATTTTGTAATTAGCGAGTAGATGGTTGCATTGGCTGGTTAGATAGCTGCATTAGACATTTTGTACTAGAAATCATGCATTGGCTGGTTAGTTGTATCAGTTATGTATACAAAAGTGTTCGGTATAATTACCTGATAATCTGTAGTTCTGATGTCATTTGAACATATGAAATGACAAATATACTTAAAACATTCATTTTTACAACTTTATTAATAGTAGAAATAAGCACTACCAGCCTATTGATTCTAATCTATGCTTGTAGGAACGATGAGAGATAGCACTAATATAAAGTGGCAGATTTTTGAGAGTTAATTAATTTAGTTGGAGAGCTTTGAAGTGGAAAAACATGCCTGCACTCGATTTTAGAAAATCTTCTGCGCAAATACTATCCACAAATAAAGAAATAACAGGGATGCAGAGAAAAATGTGCATCCATGCAACAAAAAATCTTAGTCAAGTTAGAAATCCCTTTTCCACCATTAACTGCTTATCGGTTAGTGTAGGTTATCAAGAACTTATTACATAACTCAAAAGGAGCTATTCCAAATCAGAATCAAAGTGAAAAAAAAAAATCCAGATCTAAAGATATTCAGATTTATCAAGTGCATGGAGGTTAAGTTCAAGTACCTCTTCCAAAGCCATGATGGTTGCAGGCACAAAATCAAGTTGTCGAGCTCCATGGTTGGAGACAATGATTCCTGCTGCACCTGCTTGCACTGCCAGTCTCGCTGCATACAAGATAATTTACTGACATAAATGTCTTACAAACACGATATTATAGAAATCATGTCTCCCGTAAGAATTATTTACAAGTACACTTTACTTACCATCCTCAGCAGTTAGCACTCCTTTCAGCAAAATTGGCAACTTGGTGATGGTCTGAAGCCACTTTACATCCTGCAAAAGGTGTTCACAGGGAAAGATAACACATAAAACAATCTGCACTGCAAAGAGCAAAACAAAAGGGTAAATTACTTTGTTATTTACCTTCCAATTCAATGACCGATCAACTTGATGAGAAAAATATGAGGCTAATCCAGAGTTATCTGTCTGCAAATTCATTCCAGAAAAACGAATGGGACTGTTATTTTGAATCATTTGAAAAGTTACCAGTTGTCTGCTTTGATGTCTTACTTTCACTCACCCGATTAATCTTACCAAGATCTATCCCCTCAAAGTTCTTTAATGTCAAGTGTTGTGGGAGAATAAATCTGCAAGGGATGTTAACTGTAAGATCATACTCCACTGTTTACTCATACTATTCATAGTAGTGTACTTAATATAGCATTAACAATTTTCTCCATTCATTGAAGAAAATAAAGCAAAAAGACAGTAGAAATTATGTAATTACCTGTTCTTGATATCTGCCTCCCTTCTACCTATCCTGGGTGTATCAACTGTGAGAACAATAGCTTTAAAACCAGCATACTCAGCTCGTTTAACCAGCTGTGTGACAACACTCCTGTCTTTCAATACCTTGATTAATTGGATATACACAGTCATCATCAGCCTGACCACTGTTTTGGAAAAAACTTAAAGACAAAGTTTACATACAAACTCAGAAATTAAGACTTTAATCTATTTGCATTTTTGCACTGAAAATATTCTTCACTATGAACCCAAAGTTGGAGATACAAGTTTGTATCAATGTTATGTTGTGATTTATAGAAAATAAAATACAAGATATTAGTCATATTACATCAGGGCCGCAGCTGAAAAAGAGAGAAGGATTTTGATGACATACTGATGTACGTCCAGATTGTCACAATGTACATGATGAAAATAATATTAAGATTATGAATCCTTGGCAAAAACTTACAACTTAAGAGGACTTAAATCCGGAAATTCAGAGAACAGGTTTTTGATACTTAATAAGCATATATGATTTGGAGAATACACATTATTAAGGAAAATAATCTGCCAGGAGATTACTAAATGGAGGGAAAAAATGCTGGAGTTACTAAATTACAATTTATTTTGTACTTGTACTCACATAAAGCTGGAAAAATCGAATTCCAGGTCCAGTTGAGGCAACTTCTTCAACACTACATGTGGCCATTGTAGACAATGCCTGGATCAAATAACACATGCAAATCAAAAGAATGAATTTGATACTTAAGTTCAGAAAAGGAGAAAAAATAGGAAGGGAAAGAAATGTGAGTCAAAACCATAATTGTGCCAGCAGCAGATGCTGCCCTCGCTGTTGCAAATTCTCCTGCAAGAAAATGATCGCTTCAAAAAAGGAGGTATTTCCAGTTTCTCAATTCAGCATAGAGTATCTATACAGCAAGCTTAGACAAAGAAATTAAACACTCCACTATTCAGGAGGAAACTGAGAAAATGAATGTCATAGTAGAAACAATAATAGCATGGTGAGGATGCCCTGGGGAGTGTCAGATACTCAGATATATGCACCTTGTGCAATGCAGGTACATGCCACATTATATACTTAAAAAGCAGGAACTAATATAAAATGTGGCTCATGAGACTGTGAGACCATAGTATTCACGAGTGTCAGACTGTGAATACTATTAATTAAAATATCATCTTTAATATCATTTTCATATATGATAGAGCATCTAGTTTAGAGCATTTGATTCAAAGCATTGATCCAATACTGCTTTTAAATTAAAATAAAATATCAAGTTGATTGAGCTTTTTAATTTCAGATCATAAATCAATGTATTCCTAAAGCCTACAGGCTACAAAACAGCAGGTTTATGCTGACCTTGCGTTAATTTTGACACCTAATCCTGAAAGCAAAAGTAGCAATATACCAAATCGCAGATTGAGGATACATTTAGTATGACTTGCATTAGTTTATTACTTTATCTCATACGAGCATCAATAAACCAAAACACAGATTGACATATCAAAGTAGAATACTTGAACATTAAGAAGAACATCAAGGACTTGAATTTTTACCTTCGGGGTGAGCCATTTTTTGCATAGCTGAAGGAGCAATCATGATTGGCATGGGAATATTGAAACCCAAGACAGTTATTGAAATGTCAATATGACTTACATCGATGAGGATGCGAGGCCGGAACCTGAATTTCATTGGGAGTAAAAAATAAGTAAATTGCAATAGTTAGCCAAATATATAGTAATCTTCTATGCGGTATATTAACAATAATGATTTGCTAATGTTTGTAATATATCCTAGCACATGAAAGCTGTAAGTTATAGTTGCAAATGATACAAAAAGTATACTTGAATTGTGAAGACAAGAATATGCTGAAAAATAGAGAATAATACACTGAAATTTAGGGTTGCTCATTCTGCTGATTGTTCATTCATTCATCATAATATGATTACACTATTAGTCCTTTACATAAATAGGCTGCTAAGACCACTGACAAAGTGACAGCACACCTTAGGGAAACTTCCTATGAAACTTACCAAATAACAGCTTACAAAAAAGGAACAGGACAAAAAACATAACATCCTACATCAGCAGAAATAAGAACTGAGCAAACATGGTCATACATGACCACCATCCTTCAACACTCCCCCTCAAGCTGTGAGGAATAAAACTCCCAGCTTGCTTACATAGTAACTGAGTGTATTATTCTGTGGACACCACCTTAGTGAATAGATCTGCAAGTTGCTCTGAACTCTTGACATAGGTAGGAACAACAGTCCCATCAATAGCCTTCTCCCTAATGAAATGGCAGTCTATCTCCACATGTTTTGTTCTATCATGTTGAACAAGGTTCGCAACAATTGCCAAGGCTGCCTGATTATCACAGAATAAGGGAGTGTGCGCAAGAGATTTCAGGTCCTTTAATAGTTGCTTAAGCCACATGACCTCACAAATAGTAAATGTCATTGACCTGTATTCAGCCTCGGCAGTAGATCAAGCAACAACCTGCTGTTTCTTAGCTTTCCAGGATATAGGAGAATCTCCTAGGAGAATACAAAAACCAGAAGTAGATTTTCTTGTCCCGCCAAATCACTGTCACAATAAGCTCTTAGCTTTGCAGCAGATTCAGCAGCAAGAAAAATCCCTTGATTCTTAGACCCAGACAAGTACCTTAACACCCTAATTGCAGCCTGATAATGAGCTGAGGTACACGAGTGCATGAACTGGCTAAGAGTGTGAACAGTAAAGGCAATGTCTGTCTGGTTATAGTGAGATGTATTAGCTTTCCAATTAACCTCTAATATTTTTCAGGAGGTGTAGGTGAGCTTGTGATGAGTATCCATGGGTAATCTGAGTGGTTTACACCCTTTCATATTGTATTCGTGAAGTATATCTAACATATACTTCCTCTTAGACAAAAATATCCCAGCATTTGTCTCAATTCCCAGAAAGTACCTAAGCTCACCCATGTCCTTCATCTTGAATTGACTCTTCAAGAAATAAAGTATTTCTTTGCTTCACAAATCATGTCCATGCTACTCCCTGTGATGATTCAACATAGACAAGAATAGCTATGAACCCTTTTTCATGTTTTTGAGTGAACAAAGTGTAATCTGTCTTGGACTGTTTGTATCCTTTCTCTATCAAGGCAGAACTTAGCTTGGCATACCACTGTCAGGGAGCCTGCTTTAGACCATACAAAGACTTGATTAGCTTGCGCACCTTTCTTGGTTCACTTGCAGCATTCACACCAGTAAATTCTTTCCCAAACCTAAATCCTTTTCCAAGATATCCCTGTGGAAGCTTCATGTACACTGTCTCTTGAAGATCTCCATGAAGAAAGGCATTCTTCACATCCATTTGATGAACATTCCATCCCTTCATTGCAGCAACAACCAATAGAGATCTTACAGTTGACATTTTTGCTACATGTGCAAGTGTCTCTTTGTAATCTATTCTTTCTTTCTGTCTATTCTAAAGAACAAGTCTTGATTTATGCCTCTCAATCTTTCCTGCCTTAGGATTGTGCTTTGTAGTGTAGAGCCATTTACACCCAATTGCATGCTTTCCATGTGGAAGATCAGTAATTTCCCACGTGTTATTGTTATTGTTCTCTAGAGCTTACAATTCTTCATTCATTGCTTCCTGCCATTTGTTATGCTTCACAGCATCATTGCAGTGCATTGGATCAGGTTCCTTGGTGTGTGACACCATCATACAGAAGTATTTTGCACTAGCAGATGTTTCACCAACCTTCTTTACAGCATTAGCATAGTTTAAAGTACCAGCACCTACTTAATAATCTTTATGCCATGCTGTAGGATGGTTTGCCTAGAAGATCTTCTCATTTCTTCTGTATTTGATTCTTCTCTTGCTGTAGAATCTGTATCAGTTTCTTCTTCATCTATCTCTTCTCTTTCAGAATCACTATGAGCACCATCATCGTCAATCCAGTTCTGATTTTGCTCACTGTTATCGTTTTCTTCTCTTTCTGCAAAAGCAGTGTGAAAGATGTGATATGGAAAGATATTTTCATAACATTTCACATCCCTTGATACAAAGGCTTGACCATTTATTAAACTGATTAGTTTACAACCCTTCTGATTACTTGGATATCCCATGAATATACGAGGAATACCTCTTGCATCAAGCTTGTCATGAGAAATACTTGGATTACTTGCCATAGCAAGACACCCAAATGTTCTTAATTCTCCATATGCTGGTTTCTTGCCATTGGGAACTTCATATGGAGTTTTGTCACCTAGCACAACACAGGGTAACCTGTTGGTAATATACACAACAGCATGGATACAATCACCCCGGTATTTTAGAGGAAGCCCTGCTTGAAATCTCAAAGCTCTACCCATCTCCAGTATGTTCTTGTGTTTCCTTTGTACTGAGGTCTTCCTACACATGAGGTTTGATGAATTATCTCAAAATTTTCATACAGGGGCTTGCACTTCTGATCCTCAAGTTCTGGTGTATTGTCGGACCTTAGAATCTTTACCTTTCTTCCATACTAAGTTTCTACCGTTTTCACAAAGTTTGTACCATTTGAGTTCCACACCATGAGATTCACCCATGTTACTCTTGAGTGATCATCTACAATAGTTAAAAAGTGCTTATACTTTCCCTTTGTAAACACTATGTGAGGACCCCATGTGTCAATAGGTACAAGTTCAAATGGCTCTTGTGCTCTAGACTCACTCACTACATAGGGAAGTTTTGTGAACTTTGCTAGAGGACATGTCAAGCAAACCTCACCACTTCCTTCTTTCAAACCTTTCAACCCATGGATTTTCTCAATTCTAATCTATGATGCCATAAAGTTCTAAGGATCAGCTTTGGAACATTAGTCACAACTGTAGGAACATTTCTGTATAAACTAAAAATTCAGAGCCTTACTCTCTTTTTTTCTTTAACTCACTGATAACAGTATCTATAGGTTAGTTTTCGAGATAATACAAACCACTCCTCATCCTTCCTATCCCTTTTACAGTATTAAACTCTTAGTCCTGTATGATATAGTACTTGGGATAGAATAATACCTTACTATGTGAATCATGCATCAGTTTATTCACATAAATGAGATTATGCTTGAAACTAGGAACATACAACACATTTTTCAAAGACAAGTTGTTTCCTAGATTCACTTTGCCAAAGTGAGAGATATTAGCAGTTTGCTTTCCACAACATCATGCATTGCATTCAAATAACCAATCATATGATCAGAGGCACCAGAATCTATTATCCACTTATTACTAATAGATTCGGCAAAATAACATGACACCATACCTGCTGTTTGTTCATCATCATTATCACCAAGGGACTGCTTTGGAAGCATTTTAGCAAAGCCTTACTTTGTTGAATAGTGAATTGCTTTGTAGAACCAGTGCTGGATCCACCAAATTCACTGTGGCCTGCTCCTCTCATTTGTTGCAACTCTGTTGCCCTTGTTCTTGCTTCCCTACTTATTGTTCCCAGAGGCTTTCCCTTTTCTTTTCTGAAATGATGAAACAAGTTTTTTCTGGTATTTTGGATGCCAGCTAGGGTACCCAACAAGTATCCATCACTATTCTGTCCCATGTCCTGCTTTCCCACATACTGTTATTTTGGATGCAGCCATGTCCTGCTTTCCCATTCCCCCCGGCTGTTATTTTGGATGAAACGGGTTTTTACTGGTATTTTGGATGCAGCCATTTCCTGAGAAAAACCACCTCCTCCTCCTCCCCCTGAAGGTGAACCTGATCCCTTACTAAACATCACTAAAGATTCAGATTCTTGTTTAGTGTTGTTAAAGAGAGATCTTTGAGATTCTTCTTGCACAAGGTAGCAACATGGTGTTTCTACATATGGTAAGGCAGTGATCATGAGTAGTTGACTCCTTTGAGGTCCATATTCATCATCAAGTCCATTTAAGAATTGCAACAACTTGTGTTCCTCCATTTGCTTGTTCAGAGATGTTAAGAAAGCACTCACCTTTGAGGTGATATTAGTGATTACTAGAAAAGCATGGAGAGATTCCAGCTCTTTCCATATTGCTTTCATTTTGCTATAGTATTCATTGATTCTGCTTGGTCTCATACAAATCTTTGTAATGTTTGTATTTCCTAGACCCATCTGTGAGAGAAAATCTCCTTTCCAGCTCATCTCAAATCTTGAGATGAGTTGTTAACAAACATAATAGATTGTTTAATTGAGTCTGATACTAATTCTAGAATCCATGAGATAATCATGCTATTACAAGTTTCCCATGCCTCAGATTTGACCTCATCATCATGGTCTTTCCTGTTACAAACCCAAGCTTCCTTTTTCCGGCCAGAGTAATCTCTATAAATCTCTTCCATGACCTGAAGTTGGAAGATCCCTAGAGTTTCTCAACCCATGCCTGACCATATGAAGGGTGAAGATAAAGAGGACTCACAGATTCAATAGTTGTTGTTGGCATTATGAATAAACGATTTTAAGAAGAAAGAGTAAGAAAGATTTCAGCTTTATAGAAAAGATAAGAATATTTGTGATTTTAAGAAAAGAAAAGAACTATTTTTAGGCTAGATCTGAACGTGGCTCTGATACCATGAGGACAAGAATATGCTGAAAAACAGAGAATAATACACTGAAATTTAGGGTTGCTTATTCTGCTGATTGTTCATTCATTCATCATAATCTGATTACACTATCAGTCCTTACATAAATAGGTTGCTAAGACCACCGACAAAGTGACAGCACACCTTAGGGAAACTTCCTAGGAAACTTACCAAATAACAGCTATGAAATGACAGCTTACAAAATAGGAACAGGACAAAAAACATAAATATCCTATATCAGCAGAAATAAGAACTGAGCAAACATGACCACTATCCTTCAACAAATTGAAAATTGAAACCGGTCAAATGACAAAGGATACGGAAACACTCAAGTGACCATAAAGGTTACTACACTACATGAAAGAGAAACACATACAAAATCCTCGAAAAGGCATTTCTGTTTTCTTCTAAAGTCCATTCATCTTCAGCACCTGATGCATAATAATCATATATCATCTTCGGTAGTCTCTCTTTTGCCAGCTTATCATATTCAGAAACATTTGTTATCTCCATCATGCTGTTAATGACAGGCCAGCAATAAATTCAGTTGTATGATTTCCACTGAAAACATCAAAGCACTAAAGCATAAGATTATACAAAAATTAAGAGCAATGCAAATCGAAAATGTATTACTCCATCCAAGATGTGACTTGCCTTAAATATACAGTACCAACCTTTGGTGTAAGAGACCTAGATAGAATTTCTGTATCGAAAAGTAGATTCATCCTATGACTTTCTACAACAGATAGACTACAGATCAGACCAAAGAAATATCTATTGTAAGTGCTACTGATCTCTGCTTAATGTGTGCGTTAGTGAACCAAAAAGGCATAAATATCTATTTTTCAATTGCTAGGTTCGCTCCAAATGTTTGAAATAGTTTAGTGGTGTCTTTATAATCCTTTTTCAGAGTACTACGTCAATGAGCAGAAGTTACTAAGATGCGTAAGGTGCATATAGCAGCTTATGCAGCAGTTGTGTAGTGAAGTGACTAGTGAGCCTAATAGATAGTAATTGGTTTGTTAATTTGTAAAGAGTTTTTTCCACCACTATGACTTTCTTAAGAATTTCGCAATAAGCCACTTTGCTTACCAAAAATTACTTTTAGCCATGAAATGTTCATCGATAAACACGGGGTCACCGAGATATACGTGGTTCGTTCAACAAGATATACACACGGGTTCACGGAAAGATCACTCACAATTGTCCCAAAAAAACAATATTTACAACAGTGCTTAACATCTAAAGTAAGTAACATCTAAAGTAAGTAACTTCTTTATTAAACCTCCTAGTCTCATGGAAAAGGAGTAATTTGATGATCAATATCTAATAGATGTAATAGACAAAACATTTAACAAGGGGAAAAAATCACTAAGTTTTATTTATGTAAATAAATCTCTTATTCCAAATGAAGTTTGATTGATCATCAATCAAAAATCAACTTGAGCTAGTAATGAAATTATTACTCAGCTAATCATCATTAACTAATTAATTTGTAATTATCTACCATAAAACCGTTAAAACAATCATCAACGAACTTGAATCATACCACTACGTATATTTTACAAAAGATCGAAAGAATTGCGAAATTATTAATGAAGATTAAAGAATCAAAGACGGACAATAAATTCTGCTACCCAAAATAGAGAAACTAAAGCAATGAAAGTTACAATGAAAAACAAGGTTGTGAATTAAGGAAAAAATCAACAATCAATAAAAAAAAAAAAAACCAAAATAGTTGAAAGATAAAAACATTTTAAGAGAGTTAGGTGTGACTAACCTGAAGTAGTGTCCAAGTGAAAATGAGAGTGTTTGAACAAAAACTGCAGAAAAATGAGGACATGTATCTTCATTATTTTAGTCATAGAGGCTGCCATTACAGTGGTACGACGAATCAAATTTGCATCGGTTTTAAAATGAGTTTGACTTGGTTAATTTCAAGGTCTAATGACTTTGGGTTAGGGTGATTCCGATTTAGTTGATTTCAATTCGGTACAATAATATGATTACTATAAGGTTAACATGATTAGTTAACAAGTATTGGTCAATTCCATTCCAAATCATATTCAGGTTTGGCTGAATTTAGCTTAGGTTATTATCCAAATTCAATATTCAAATAAGGTTATTTTTAACCGGTGTAAAAATGAAGTTATTACTCCATTCTTTTTTTAGTGTCCTATTATCAAAGTTTTAAGGAAAAATTGCCCTAAAATAATTCCACGTTTAGGGTGTTCGCTAAAAATAATCACACAATTGAGTTATTTTTAAATAATCTCACCTTTACCATCCGACCTTCTTTAAGTGGAAAGCTAAACGTCGCCCTCGAATATCTAACTAACGCCCGCAAAATAAAATAAAATTACAAATTTACCCTAAATATATCAAAATATTACCCCCCCCCCAATACTCTCAATCCTTGTTCACTCTCTTAAACATAATTCTCTCCCTAAACAACAACAACCACCACCACCTCTTCATACTACCCACCACTACCACCTCCTTCTCCTCTTTTAACCACCAACTCCTTTTACCTCCGGTTTCACAATCTACACAATCGTGGTAATGATGAGGAAGGACAAAGGGAAATCGATCGCCGGAGAAAAGGTTTATTTTTTTTATTTATTTTCTGAAATCGCCGGCAAAGGCCCGGTTTTTTCAAACGTCCTAGGCTCAAACGCCAAGTTTTTAAGGATAACCGCACGGTTGTTCGCACGAACTAGGCATTTGAGCCAAGGACGTTCGAAAAAACTAAGCGTTTGTCTGGGTTTTATTTTTTATTTTTTTTAATTCGTTTTTTTTTTCGCTATTGTTGTTTATTATTATTGTTTTTTTTTAGATTTGTACTAATTTGTTTTTTTTTGGATTGTAAATCGAAACCCAGGAAAACGCCTAGGATTTTTGCAAATCCCAGGCTGAAATGCCTAGATTTTTCGAATATCCTAGTATGTTTCGAAAAAACTAGGCGTTTCAGCTTGGGGTTTTCGAAAATCCTAGGTATTTTCCTGGGTTTTGAATTTTTATAAAAAAAAATATCGCAATGTATCGAGTCCGTACGGTTTCAAATTTTTTTAAAAAAAAATTGTTTGATTTTGAAAATCATGGTGGTTGGAATGGTTGACCGATGAGCGTTGGTGGCCGTTGACCATTAGAGAGAACAGTTAAAATTTTTGTGTATGGTAAAAGTGTGAAATTGAGGTAAATTTAATTATTTTTATAATCGTTATTATAAAGATAAGTACGTAATTTTATTTTATTTTACAGGCGTTAGTTAGATATTCAACGGCGATATTCAACAACCCCCTTTTTAATAGTCCCATTTTACTCAGAATCGGTTGTCAGGTAAACATTTTTTTTATTTAATTTACACATATCAACACATGATTGGTCAAAAAATAAGTTTTAATTTTAATTTTGTTTTAAGAAATAATTATTAGTAATTAGTTGTATGTTAATCAACTATTTTAAACTTTTATTCTAAAAAATTAAAACCATACTAGCTACACCACCATCCCAGCCGCCTCCTCGCCCAAACCATCGTCCCAGATGAAGCATAGAGTTGGTAGTCCCACTGCGACCAGACCCTAGCTCCACATCACCGTTCACCGACCTCCCCTACCCTCTTGCGTCACTAGTAAACAACCACAACACTTTCCGGCCGAAATCAAGGTGTAAGAACGGAGGCCAAAACCGAAGTGTGAGAAGGTAGGGGAGGGGAAGGGGATAGGGCCGGAAAAGGGGCAAGGGAAACGGGGGAGCCATAAACGCGACGGGGAAGTCGAGGGAGATCGGGATCTATCGGGATGGGGAACTATTTTTTGAATCAATTGGTGGTTCAAGGGGAGAGAAAGTCAATTGTTCAAGGAGGAAGGAGATAGCAGTTGGGGCGGGGCTCCGGCGCCGGGGGGAGGCAGGAGTTCGGGCTGGTGGGAGTGTGTGGCCATGGAGTCAAGGGGCGGGAAGGTAGCTTGGGCAGCTGGTGGGGTGGTTTTTAAATATTCAATTGTTTTTCTTCTTTATAATTACTAGTTGTGGCATTGTGTGTTACACACGCGGCAACAACTTGGTTAGTATATATATTTAAATTTAGTTAATTAGGCTTTTTTGTCAACTGATGTTTGACAATTTTAAGTGTTATACAAATATTTACGAAATATGAAAGAGGTTTGAGAAAAAGAGTATAGATTTACAAACTGAATATATTATTTTGTTGTTACAATACAACTATTGTATTACATAAGTAAACCTTGTTGTAGTATTGTAGGGAATATTTCAAGCATCCCACACTTGAGCCCCACCGTGATCATACACTTAAGCATGGTGGCGTCCAAAGGGAAGGAAGCTAGAGTAAAAGAGTCGCCAACAAGTTTTAGGAACTTGTAAACCGTTCACAAGATGAAGGTTACACCCCTTAACGATCCAGGAGATCGTTAACTCCAATAAGTCTGGAACCATGACTAGAAGTTCGGGGATGAAGGTACAAATCCAACCTAAAAGAGATTGAATCTGCCCTAAAAATAGGCCTCTACTTTATTCTTCTCATATTCATATGCGCTTTCTGACTAACATGCAATCAATAGATTATCTCTAAACCTGTTTAATCTATGTTGGTTGAATATTAATGCACAAGCAAAACTATTATTGGCGATCACTTGAATTATAATCATATTAGCCTAAACAAGATTATTAATTATCTTATTAAGCGTGATTACAAGTACAAATTCCCTTTAAACATGCATAAAAGGTGTGATCAAGCAATAAAAAACAAATAATAAATATAATATCAAGCAACATAATAACAATCAAAATCATAATAATAATATTGTCAATCTCAAAGCATAATAATATTAGCAAGATCCTAAGCATGATACTAACAAGATTAATAACAAACCCTAGCATGTCACTAAACATTAAAGATCAATTATCCCTAGCATGATACTAACATGATATTAGGAAAGAAATAGGAAGCATAATAATAAACTTAGTTGATATTAGAAATTTTAGTTATTATTCTAAACATGATACTAGAAATGAATATAATTAAAGCATGATTTCTATATCAAAAGAATAATCAATTAAATTACTTACTTGGATGCCTCATATCTTTTTCTAATAACAAAATACACGTGTTAGTAACTTCAGGGAAAATAATAAATTAAACAATTAAATTAAAGAATAATTGAAATAGAGATTTGGGACCAAACCCTTGAAATATCAAACCTTTCACGTCTAGGGAGAAGGAAACTTCGAACTTGGCTAGGTGTGTCTAGGACTAATGAGTGGAGAATTTTGTAAGAGGGAAAGTTTTGAAAAAAGAATAGAGAGAAGGAAAGGTTCTAGCTTTTAGAGAGAGAATAGATAGAGATGATGGTTGTGAAATGATTGTTGGTGATTGAAAAAAGGGTGATATGATCTCTATTTATAAGGAAAAAAGAGGGTCGAAGAAATATAAAAGAATCCGAATTCGAATCGAAATA